TAAATAGGGCTCCGTCATATACACTATTTGGCCTACAAATACACTTCTTGCGACAAATCAACAAAAAATTTATTATATATATTTAATCACCAACAACACACACTTTGTCACCACCACCACCATTTACCATAAAAGCTCTCATATTTACACATCCCTACCAACACACTCTCTCACCACCACCATTTGTCACCAACAACACTATCTTCACCACAAAACATCAGTAGCCCCCATCAACACCATCTCCAACCTAGCTTCTGCATTCTTTATCTCCGAGCCGCCATCATCACCATCACAATTGTCCACATAGTGTTCTTTCTAGGCCACATATATAATGAAACTCTATTTATGAATTGTATTTAAATGATATATTTATGAATGTAATAATGGTATTTACTAAAGAGAATTAGAAAAAAAAAATCCTAAAAATGATATATAACTTATAATTATTGTGTTTTTTTAATAACAAAATATGAGTTTCCTAGTGAAAGGGATATAGATGGTATCTTTATTTTTTGTTTTTAATAAATAAATACAAGTTTTCTTCAAATAAATTTAGTATATATATAAAAAAAGAAAATCTCTACAAAAGTGCTTAACGCTAACTTTATTAATGAAAAAGTCATACATGATTTTTTATAATTATAATTATTATTATTATTATTATTATTATTATTATTATTATTATTAGTATTAACATTATTATTTGCAATTTAATCCTTAAAACCTGATATTAACCGGACACAATGGTGTTTTGTTCGTGTTTACTGGTTTAAATGATTAAATTACAGTTTTTTTTCTTTCAACAGAATCAAAGTATAAGAATTTTTTACAGTTTTGTTTTTGAATCCGAAGCCGACACCTTTTTATATTATGACAAAATGTATGTGTAAATGTGAATCGAACTCTTTCTTTAATCGATTAGGGCATTAGGCCCCTAAAAGCTTAGGTTTTTAGACCTAAAGACATCGGAGACTTCCCCAATCTTAGGGCCTGTTTGATTTGATGCTTACCCGGTCCGGTCAGACGTTTTTGTCTGACTCGGTCCGATCAAATACAGTCAGACTGTTTGATTTGTATCTGACCCATTCCATATGTCTGAGTCGGTCCACAAATAATGGCTGATTCGGTCCACAAAAAAATCACACCTGACCGAGAAAAATCTTTTGGTTGCCCTTATCCCAAATCACACGTGCTCCTTAACGCATCTTCTTCTTCGTCGCTAAAGTCATGAACGAATGCAAGTCTTAAGCTTCATCGCTTCCTCCTCAACTACCGGCCTCCTCCTCCACCGTCGCCTTCCTCCATCCTCGTCGCAACCGCTGTCGCCAGACTCGTCCTCCGCCGTCTCTCTCCTTCATTGTTAGTTTCTTCTCTCGTCCCCTCTTTATCTCTGCAAAACATTTCCAAATCGATTGTTCAAAGACCTAATTATTGATTGGTATTGTTCTTCTCACTAAAGCCCTAGTTGTTGCATAAGGTAAAAAATTTCTCCATTTGAATTCCGAATTAATGATCACTGTCATCGGTTCTTAGGCGTTTCATATATGTTTTTAGTGTTCTGGATCGTTTTCCTGCTTCAAGTTGCTTAATATTTCAATTATGCTTATGGTTTTTTACTATTGGTTTATTATTATCTAATGTTCTAATGTTGAATCAACTACAAGAACAGAGATCATTGATTTCTTATGAGTTGGATTTGAGGGGGTCCAACTAGTAATGTGGAGAAACTGATTATGATCCTATCAGACAGTATAGTCTTGTTAGTTCTAATGAATAGCTTGATGCTCTAGGAGTAGTAATTGATGTGATTTTCTTGCCTTGATCTTGCTCTACATGATTTTCTTGTTCATTATTTTGTTATGCTCATGATTATTTGTTGTTGTTGTTGTGCAAGGATTTTGTTGCTCTAAATGGTATTTGTATTTCTCAGTTTCTAGAAGGACAAAAATTCTTCTTTGATGGGAGCTCCTACAACCAATTTGAAGGAGCTTCACATGAATCCAAATGATTTGAAAGATGTAGCATCTACAACAGTTTGATGTTTGTATGCTAGAGCTTCACGTGATTTTGATAATAATGTTTGATCTTGCTGTAAGGATAGAACTCTACAATGTGTAATTGGTAAAACTATATCTATAATTTTTCAAGTTAAACGTGAAGATGCAAGAACTCAGTTGTGTAATTTAATTTTTTGTTTGTTATGAGATTGCATTCAGTTTTATTTTTGATTCATGTAACTTGGAACTTGGAAGTTGTTTGCTCTTATGAATGTATTTGTTTTACTTTGGTATATTCTATTCAAATTAGGACTTAGATATGACAAATGTTTTGCTTATTATAAAAAAATGTTATCCTAGCTGTAATGTTTATATAAAAATTTAATGTTATAAATTAAATGGTAAATCATAAATGAATTATTATAAAAAATGTTGTTTGAGGGTAATATAGTCATTTTGCACGGTCAGTCATAAGCAAAATCAAACAACAAGTTTCAGTCAGAAGTTAACTCGGTCAGAACTTCTAACCCAGTTAGCAACTATCAAACGACCCCTTAGTTGAACTTGGTCAAGCTTTTGGGCCTGTGGGCCATGTGCTACTTTTTTTACATAAAAAGCTAGAAAAATATGAGTATATTGTACAAGGTTACGATTTCACTTTAAAGTTTTGACATTTACGAGTTATATATATATATATATATATATATATATATATATATATATATATATATACACACACACACACTAGCCGTTTACCCGCACTAAGCGACGGGTGTGAATATCTTTTTCAGAAATTAATTTCTAGAGACGATTAGTTCTTTTGCGCAAATAGTTATGTGCTTTACGTAGTTGACAGTGTAGAGATCTTCAAAAGACGAAGAGCCACTAATATCCGATAAAAGTAGGCAAAGGTAGCCACTAATCCGATAAAAGTAGGCAAACGTAGCCACTAATCGCTTCCTTTTTGTACCATAAAAATCAATCATATTGAACTCGACATAAATGACCAAAGTATCATATCAGAAGCTCCCAAATGACACTACGACAACAAAATAGTTAAACTTTTATGTTATTAATAAGGAAAAAAGGAATCTAAAATTAAAGTAACTTGTTTTTTCTTGTATTAATCAAGCTTATAATAAGGATAACATGATCCATGATTACGACTATGTTGGACTTCTTTCATACATTAGGTGCCAAATTTTCAACTTACATCCATATACTAAATGCAAGATATAGCAATTTATTTTCCTTTATTAGCAAGAAATAGCAACACACTTTTATAAACAAATACAAGTTACTATTTCTTGCATTTAAAAATTGTAATGCAAGATATACTAACTTACATTCATTTATTATCAAGAAATAGCAGCTTACTATCACTTCTTTTTACAAATAACCACACACGATGGAGTCACATGCACACACTATCACATACATACACAAACATGCAAACACTACATCTTGCATTACGGTAGGTGTTACCTGATGTCAAATACAATGATGGCTTCAAACAGTTCTGTGTATTGTTATTATAAAACCAATTGGTTTAAACAACACTGTGTAATAGTATTATATAAAAATAATAACATTAACTGATTTTTTCAAACCAAATGCTTTGGCAACAATACTAAGAAGGGGGAGTGTTCTTCATTAGTTTTCTTCATTCATTTTCAGTTTTCACGAATTTTTCTACTTAAAGTCTCTAATTCATTTCAAGACTTTAATTCATTTTGGCAAATAGTTTTTAAGGGATTAGTTTTATTTCGATAAATAATTTTATTTCTACGATTAAGAAGTTGTTAATTAGTCAAAAGTGTTAAAAGGAGATCATTAAGACTTCTCTTTCTTAGCTAAATAACATGATTTTCCTTAATGCCTTTAACCAACTACTTTATGAGTATTATAAATACTCTTGTTGATTGATTTAATAAAGGCATAAAATGTTTTGATTTTGTTTATTTGGCTTTTTAACAAAAAAAAATCTATTCTAAAATTAAATAAGTGTATTTTTGATAGTGGCATTTTTTTTTTCGAAAGTTGCGACTTGTGCAAAAAAGTCAAAACCCAACTAAAAAAAATACCCAAAAACATAACTGTTTTGAAAAACAATCGAACCATTAAGAAAAGAAATAAGTTTTGTTGAAAAAAAACAACCAAAAACTAAAACTACCAATCAAAGCATATTAAAATTCGGTTTGAAGGTTTTATCGTATGTTTTTTTTTCCGGAAAGTGTTTAAATATTTCCCAGTTTATGTGTATGATTGATGATTAATTGACATATCATAGGTAGTTCATTTATATATTGATTCTAAATTAGTTTATCGGATAAACCGACTAAACTTATACATAAACATAGTGTTTTTTTTTATGTTTTTAGTCTAGTAAGGGTTTCTTAAATACTTAATTACAAAAGACCAAACCAAACATATAATTTTAAATGTCAAAAGTTCAACGATAAAAAAAAACTCTTGTTGTAAATAAAGTTCATGCTATATAGGATGAAAGGCGACTATATTTCGTCCAAAAACCTATTTTAGTGTATATATTAACAAACACATGTTTTTGCATAAGAATGCGTATAACTGATATGTTTTAATCATAGACAAAATGTTTAAAGTAGTTTTCTTAATGATAGAAAAAAAAATATAATCATTGGTCAAAGTTAAAATTACAAATATTTCAAAAAAATAAATGAATTTCCACTACTGTATATATTAACAAAATAAGAAAAGAAAATAAGAAACAAAAATCACTATTTTAATTTGTTCCTCCTACAGCCACATGAGAAGTTGAAATTTTGATGGAGTGTTATCAAGATGTCTATGACTCAAAACCATCTGATAAAAAAGGAAAACAAAAGGGAGATCGTAGTACAATAATAAAATCAACGTGATAGAGGACGGATCATATGATAAGATATGGATTATTTGAAATTAGATATGTAGTGAGATGACACCATGGCTGCAACGTCATTTGCATTGCCAATATAAAAACAAGTTTCACACATCACCCATAAAATAAAGAGGATTAGCATTTGAGATAGAGAGAAACAAAACTTTCAAGTTATTCATAAAAGACAATTGTATCCAATACAAAATTGCAACATCGGGAACATAGAAACAATCGGTGGGCCTCAGAGCACCTGCACATAATTGTTGAATGTTGCATGTTATAAGAAACAAAAACATGAAAATTGAATTAAGAACATACCCAATCTGAATGCATTTTTTTTGTCTTTCATACTCATTCCTCCTAACTTCTTTATGTAATTGTAATTAAATAAGAAAATTCCATAACTTATGACCAAATATTATTGGGAATTGATTCTCCAATCCAGATACCATACTTTCCCTCTAGGTGCGCCACTGCCTTGATCTTCAAACAGCTAGGAGCAAGAAAATTTATTTCGTGCTCATCCTGTCAGATTTACCAGGAAACATAGTCAAACCACCACAGAGCAATCTTACCATGAAGATCATTTTTGCATACTTTACCCTAGATTTGTGGTTATATATATTAATAACCTAGATTACATATAATATTTCAATGCCTGTAAAATGAAAGATTTACACATATATGGACAAAAACACATGAAAACAAATATCAAGCATAGCAAAACATCAATATTCGTGCCCAAAACCAAACCTGAGAAAATGGTCCACAACCAATTTATAGCAATATGAACTCTTCATATTGCTGTCCTTCAACGAAACAATAGAAACTCTTTATATGTATGAATATGTGCGTTTGTAAAGTAGATATAAATGTAAAAGCTTACAGTGTGATATCTAATTATTTGTGTGTGTGTGTGTGTGAAAGGAGATGAACCCTACTGCACTGCAACAGATCCGAATTAAAAAAAAAAATAGAAATTCGGATCTTCACCAGATCAAAACAACCCTCTTGCGATAAGAGTAAAACTAAATCATAAAGGATGAAAAAAAAAACCTTATTGAGATGGAAATGCCTTTGTATCTTCGACCGATGGATCTCAACTAAATAGCTCCAATCCCAATAACAAAAGAAGCAAACCTAAGATTTCAGCAATTAACTGCATCGAATAAATAGTAAAATTTGGTTACTAAAACATTCAAAATCATAAAAGTACAATTAACATAATAGCTTTTAATCTCATCAGAACCTTCTAAAATTCAACATACTCAAGAGGGAGCGATAGGGGTTGGTTAGAGGCAGGGGAATGCAATCCTTAACCGAAAATTGTGAGAGAGAAACTACTCATGTAATGGGGATTTGAATTAAGCGATAAGGGATATTTTATTTTAAGAATTTTAGAACCCACAAATCACAGTATCAGATTAGGAAAGAGGGGGAATGATGAGATAGACATGGGTGGTGGTGATATCGGTGTTGATTGGTGGCTACCCAATTGGGTACATGATTGAACTGGTGGATAAAGGAAAATGAGATGCTTACCTAGGGGATAGAAAGCTTTTTGATGAAAAGGAAGAAATGTGTGTTAACCACCACCTCTCCGCCTATCAGATCCCACCACAGTTACCTCCTCCCCTCTCAACCTCGATCCTCTCTTTCTCCCTATCTGTTTGATATTTCTTTTCTTTCCAGTTTTTTTGTCCAGTCCTAACACACACAGACCATTAGGGAAGTAGAATGATGACGGAGATGGTGGAGGTCGCGGCCATGTATGGTGGCGACCGGTGGCGAGAGTGGCGGCTGATAATGGGTGTTTTTAGGACTCGTAGAGCTTCCTGGATCAAGAGAGGTGGAGAGAAGAACATTGACATGAGTTTTCAATCACGAACATAAATGTTGCTTTTTCCCAAATGGCTTTAGACTTCATCCTTGCTGAGATAGATGCGACAATGGTTTAATGGTGGCGTTGTAGTGGAATTTTGAGATAGACAGAGAAGGGGAGTTGATCTTGCAGTGAAGAGGATGGGAGGTATAGAGGAACAGGAATGAGGAGATAAATGGTTGTAGCTATAAACAATGTTAGGTCTAGGTTTTTAGAGAAAATGTGGAGTGACGGTGTTAGGTTTTTAGAGAGATTGTGGAAAGACGGTGGTGGATTTCAGGACAAATGGAAAACGGTGCTGGTTAGGGTTTACAGTGAGATCAAGCGGAGCATTGTGCAGCAGCAAATCCTCGCATTCCTCCGTATTATTATGATTCGTTTCCTATTTGAACGAGTCTTTCACTTTTAATCAGCCTAAAAATACTGAGAATTTGAATAAGTCCTAACTAAACTTTGGGAAATATATTTCGGAAAGATAAGGAGATACGCGAAAAATGAAATAAGATATTGTACTGTATCGTTTGATTATACTTTTAGCTATAAATTTGGACAATTTAAATTTTAATATTATTTTATTGAAGTCCGGTTGTATTTAAAACATCCCAAAAATATGACCCAAAATTTTCGTTTTAAAAATATTATAAGAAACTATAATCATCCATAATCAATAAGAAAACCAAGTGTCATGTATCTCAAAATCTCATATCAAATACTGTATCAAAAAACAAATGAGAAAATATATCAGAGTCTCAATAAATCCCTGGCTGAAAGATGTGGTGTGTGCCATGCGATCATCCGAGCCCTTCCCTTTGCTAGTAGAAGTATCTGAAACCAAAACTGAAAACTGTAAGCACAAAGCTTAGTGAGCTCTCCCAAACTACCACATACCATACAATAACACATACTGGGCCTTGCCCAATGCATCGGGCCCCGCCCGGCATCGGACCGAAGTCCGGCATAGATTGGGCCCCGCCCACTGCATCGGGCCCCGCCCGACATCGGACCAAAGTCCGACATAAATTGAACATAACATAAACATGAACATATAACATAATCACATATACTGCATCGAGCTTGCCCGACATCGGACCGGTTTCCGGAACATATAACACATATCATAAGCATGCATGAATCACGAAGACATCAAGCATACATAATGTAACGCCCGTCCATTCGGGCTAGCCAATTTAGAGACAATAAGCATCAAAAATGAGTTATTGATGGAATATTATTTATAAGGATTAATCTTAACCAAGTGTTAGTATATGTTAAAAGGGTTCCGTACATATAAAGAACGTCGAAATCCGAGTTATAACGAAGAAGTTATGGCACGTCGAAGTTTTACGGCAAAACCGACACGACACCGGGAGACGTAAATAGTGAATTTATGATAGAGGACTTTTTGGCATTAGTGATCTAAACAAAATTTATAGTATACGTTAAACCGAGAGCGTGCATAAAAAGAACGCCCAAATCTGACTTTGTATGAGGAAGTTATGAATTTTCTAAGATTTGGCATAGCAGTGCACGGTCCGAAACTAGAATTTTAGATCGAGCGGTTTTTGGCCTACGCGACCTAAATGAGATTTTAATATCTCATTAATAGGAAGTCAACGATAAAAATAAAGACGAAAACGGAGTCCGTATGAAAGAGTTACGAATTTTTCGCGGTAATTTAATAGTATAATCTCCTCATACTGTTAAATTTAAGATCAGCCGAGAATTAGCCGACGGAGTCAAAATGAAAGTTGTAGATATTATTTTTACATACGCGTGGATATAAAGAGTGTCAAAAACGGAGCTCATATGCGAAAGTTACGGATTTTAGAAGTCGGAAGTGTGGTGTGAAAATGGGTGACGTGGCATAATCTTGGCCATTGCTTTCTCCCTAAGTCTTGCCACCAGATGGTGACATGTGGCACCAAGTTCAGCCATATTTCACCCTATAAATAGAACCTCCCCCACCCTCATTTTCTTCACATCTTTCTCATTCTTTCTTCTCTCTACACTCTCTCTAAACCTCCCAAAACTCCCCTAGCGCTAGAAGAAAGCCTCGGAGCGCCCGACGGCTCTGAAAAGAAGAGATTTCGGCTCGGAAGTTCTGCCCCTGCAGAGCCCGACTTCTATCCAACCCCCCCCCCCCCCCCCCGTAGGTAAGATACGCCTACGCTATTTTAAATATAGTTTTTATTTAAATATAGTAATGTTATTAGGACCTTATAATAAATATTTGGGCTATTATTATGAGTTATATAAGTGTCGTTATAATATCGTTTTAACCACTCGCGGTACGGGGAATCTGGTTTGGAGGGCCGCTTGGGTTGCTGGATTTCAGAAGTGCTTTATGCCAAAATGATCCTACCCTCCGGTGTTCCATGTCTGGCCCCTGTCTATACATAGTGGGTGAAGAATATTGTTTAACGTATGGAGTTGTAACACCCGAGTCCTGGTATGCTTTTAATTCAAATGCTTTTGTATTTTTCTCTGGGACTCGACGAGTTGGAGGCCCAACTCGTCGAGTATGGACGAGATCTGCGGGTAGTTTAAGTGACCTACTCGACGAGTCGGGAGACTGACTCGGCGAGTAGGTGTTGTTTGGGTGAAACCCTAAATTTGAGGGTTTGCACCCTATTTAAACATCTTATTCCAGCCTCCATCGTCCCTTATGCTCCCAGAACACCTCATATCGAAACCCTAGCCGTTTTTGTGTGATCTAAGGCCATTTTGATGCATTTGGTGATTTGTGAAGCTTGAGAAGAAGAAAGAAGCTTGAGAGTTCAAGTTGGGGCTTGGAGATCCAGAGATCTTATTCCATCTTCAGCTCAATCAAGGTAAATGCCCCCTGTTTTGGTCTTCCATTTGGTTGTTCATCTTTAGGGCTTAGATTTTGGGTGCATTTAGGGCTTCCTAAGCCATTTTCAGATTTGTGAAGTGATTCATGGGGTTCTACTTTCAGATCTGAGTCATTGGGGTGGGGGGGTCTCATGGCATAAAGGTGCCAACTTTATGGCCATGAGAGCCCCACACACATTGTAGAGTACCTTTTATGGATTTTTGAGTCAAAAACCCCATGCATGTGCACCAAGTTTGGAACTTTACGTATAAAATGGACATTAGGAGGCCAGATCTATGGTTTTGAGGTGTTAAGACCCATTTAAATCGACTGGATAGTAATGGTCATGGATAGACTCGACGAGCCGTTCTTGGGACTCGGCGAGTCGGTGTGGTTTAACCACCAAATCCTTTCTGTCGATGGACCAGTTGTTAGGGAAGGAATTCCCTTAGTTATTTAGACACAAAAGGGGCCTGGGAATCATGGGACTCAGCGAGTGTATGAACAGACTCGGCGAGTCCAAGGCAATCTCCCAATCCTTTGAAGATGGACTCGACGACTTGTTCATACAACTCGGCGAGTCACAGACTGGACATGTTCATAGGATGAAGGTAAACTCGACGATTTGTTCATACAACTCGGCGAGTCGGATGAAGGTTCATTCGATGATATTATAGAAGGAGAACTCGTCGAGTCTTTGCTAAACTCGACGAGTAGAGTCGAGAGGGGGTCAGATGAAAGAATAGGGACTCGGTGTGACATCCCCATTTTCACGGCCAGAAAAGACCAATTTTGTTTATGCTTTATAAAAATCAGAGTACCTATTTTAATAAAAATGTCGCGGAATTTGTTCCCAGAAAACATGATAAATACGTTATCAAAGCATTTCCGAAGAAATGTATTTTTATCCATTTTAAAACATTTGGGATGTCATCGTCAATACAGTAACATAAGCATAAACAGAACTTACATTCATTTACACTAGTGATCTACATCTCTTTTAAATCTCTCAGTGCAAAGTAGCTTCATATCGATACATGTGATACAAATAAGTTGGAGTGGGTCAGGTTGGGAAACCTGGTGAGTACATAGGGTTTTCAACCCACAATAATATAATTATTATATTTAAGCGTCAAACAATCAACCCGATTACCCATCCCCGTTATCTTCTTTAATATTCCTTAAAGAATTATCTTAAGGGTCATCTCCTATATCATATTTACCTCTCATCTTTTTACCTCACATTTCCGTATATGCTCGTTCCTAAGGCATGAATACGTAGTTACAACGTCGCCTGAACTCGTAATTCACAGTAAGGGTTAGAGTATCATCACATGAATATACAATCACAACATCACCTGGACTCGTAATTCATCACCTACAGGTTATAAGTCTGCTGGTGTTTCCACGGGTTGTCTATAATAGTCCGTGGTCGCCATCTATACTCTAGTAGATGACTACATCTCCAAATTGCCGGACAAGGTTATAGTATCTTTCATCCTACATCACCGATTCATCATCACCTATCCATCACCTAATTATCATCACCTTCCTATCATCACCTATCTCTCATCATTTTATTTTATCACACACCAACTATTTCATCTACCCATGTTTTATCCCAACATATTTGTAGATATAAAATAAATATATATGTAAATCATTTAAAACATGTATAAAATCATTCATCCATCATAGACAGCAAGTATTCAGATAATATGCACACATAGCACGTAATTTATATAAAATACTTCATATCTATGTGTAAGATGAAAGGGACCATGCACTCACTTGAGAAGGTGGTGACTCGGCACTCGGACAACACTTCGTTACTCTTAACACAATTTTCCTCGGACAAAACCTAGTATCATTACCACTAGAGTTTAGTCTAATATTCACCGAGACTAATTAATAGTCTAGCTATTATTACTATTATATAAGCGTTAAACGATACTTATATAACCCATAATAATAGCCCAAGTACTTATTATAAGGTCCTAATAACATTACTATATTAAAACATAAGCTATACTAAAGATAGGTTAGGCGTAGCTCACTTACAGCGGGTTTTATAGAAAACCGGACTTTGCTTGGAGCAGCGTTTCCGAACCGAAAGACCCTTTTTATCGGGACTCCGGGAGCCTCGGGGCTTCCTT